TGCCTTCATCACTCTTTCTATTTAACCTTTTAAAACACAGTTTATTATTTGTGTTCCATGTATACTCATAATGACATAGGTTTTTATGTGTTCTATTTCTAAATAAACATCAACAACATTCTCAAGCCTAGGCAGTGGAAGTTGGCCCTCATCTAAAAAAACAAAAACAATCACGCATCACTGGCACTAGGTGAAAGTTTGACCATGTGGCATTCTCTCCTTTTGCGTAATTTTTTTCTTAAACTTGCTTTCTAATTTGTCTAAAACTAAATTATTATGTCTACGTTGTAATAAAGAAATTTCTACACAATAAAATGTTTATTGTTGTCTTATTCTTTTAATAAATTATTATCAACGTATCATAGTTACCAACTGTCTCGCATCATGTGGGATGGTGCCGCATTTCAAAGTGATTTTGGATGAAACACATATGCGTGGTCAGAAATTTGTCCCGCATTTAGCACAAGTCTATGCGTGATAACTAATTTTTACGAATTCATAGGAAAATATATTGAAAATTAGAAAAAATTGGTGTTATTAAAATATAAAAATGGTCATGCAGTAGCTGGAGTCATTAGAGCTTTCATTATCGTTCGAGAATCAATTTTCCGAGAAAATTTTTTTTTCCCCACCAAAACAACCCAGCCAACCATGCTCTTAGTAGAATCTAGTAGTCGCGTACGGTCTTGTACGTTCTATTATCACAACCAACCGTTAATTATGTGACTGGAACCCGGGCCTCCAGGGTTCCACCACTGACCCAGGGCTGTCGGTGCAGTCACGCATTTTGATGTATTAGTAGCACATGCAAGTTTGCTATGTCAAAAAGTCTCACCACACACTACCACACATGTTTGGCTGTGGTATCTCTCAGTCTATGGTTATGGTAAAACCAAATGGCAAGCTTCTGATGAGGGATCTCATTGGTGGTTTGTGCAGAGTTTGAGATCGTTTCAAGAGATACCTAGGCCTAGTGTGCTATCTGTCAAGTTATTTTTTTGGTACAGTAGCCTAGAACTATAAAGGACAGAAAATAAACTATAACAAAATAAACATATACACAACTACCGTAACTGAATGGAAAATTTTATTTTTTTAAAGCCAATAATTAATTCTGCTCAAAAATTTAAATTCCAAAAATCAGCACATTTATTTTTTTTTAAATACAAGTCACAGTGTCAAGTGCATATACTTTGATATGTAAATACCATTGTATTAATTATTATAATTTCAAAAATATAATACCTTTTAAAAAAAAGTAATTTCCTCTGGCTGGGGATGATACAAGGCCCTATTCATTTTTCTATTAGTTTGTCACCCTATCTAGGCAGGAAAAGTGATGAAGGGAGGGAGGCTGGCTCTTTTTTTTTTATATATTTTATTTTGCTAAAGCTAAATATCACCCGTGGGTTGTTTGCTGGTACATTGATATTCACGGTAAAACATGATTGAGATAGTACAAACAATATACTAACTATTCAATTCAAAAAAAAGAAAGAAAAAAAAAATAATTCAAAAAAAAAAAATAAAAAATTATACTATAGAATACATGCACGCAAGGGTAATATACTAATGATTTTTTTTATTAGGCCTAAAAATTAATTTTATTGCTTTAAAGCAGGATTAATACAACTGCGGCTACGTGGAATATTATGTGCCGAACGAGGTGTCGCAGCGCGTTTTCCCATTATATCTTTAAAAAAATCCTGGGGAGAACACTGCCACTCTTACTGTGGGCCTATACCATGACTTGTAATTTACAGTAAACATGGTAACTCATGCTACAGATTGTTTGGCCATAAATAGGCAAAATTCTGTACCCCAACTATTCTAGGAATATATTTTACTCTTTATAGTTGCAATACAGGTTTGCATAAATCCAAATCAGTTTTTGTCCAAGCTTTCAAAGATTTTTTTCACTGAGAGCTTTTAGCACTGCCCTGGCCTTCACCTGTTGGGAAGGGAAACCCCCTGTCAAACCTTACCTGATAGGTCTACCGTATTGTCTCTAATAAACACCCCGAGGGCGTTGCATTTTTTCAAGGGGGGGGGGGAAGGGCGTTTATTAGAGGTGAATTGTAAACTCAAAAAATACCTGCTGCTTTAAACGGTCAATAAGTTCTTTATTTGTAGAGGAACAAGTTAATGTGCAGGGTATCTCCAGGCCTCCTGCTATTTTGCTGTTCCTTCGTTTGTTGCTGGTTATTTGAACATCAATAATTCCCTTGTGTTTCAAAAAGAAATGAAATATCTTCGAGTTCTCTTGGGGTAAATGTCCGACGATGCAGCGCGGTGTTTCTCGTTTTACAACAGCAATCGCATGCTTGTCAAAAACATGTCGGCCTCATGAACTGTTGGTAGAATCTCTCCGATTTTTTGAATCCAAGTTTCTTGGTACACATGGAATCCTCTAACAGTACTCTCAATTTTATATGTATACTGGTACTTTTCTGTAGCAGAACTTGAAGATGAAACGGCCATGTTTAGACAAACATTTTTTTACGCCCTCAACTTGAAGAAACATTCTCACTACGGTATAGACTTCATTGACCAGACACCTTGAATCAAATCAGCATCGAACACGCAACACATTAACAATACACGATTACCCGTTGTTTGCCGTCAGTTTGCTGCTTACCCTGTTTTTACAAGGCTAACAAAATACCATGAGAGAAACACAAAATAGGCCTAGGCCTAGTAATCGTGAAGACAGTTAACATCAAACGTTTAGGGTAAGCTTTTTTGAGTAGTATTTATTTCATTTCATATCAAAGAAAGTAGCACACAGTATTACTCCTTGTTTGTCAACATTATTATGGACTGGATACCCATGTTAATTGATTGGGCACTCATTGCAAAATGAAAAAAAAACTCAGAGGGGGAGTTTATAAGAAGGGGGCGTTTATGAGAGACAATACGGTATATGGTCTTTGACTTCACATCAAATTATCTTTTTGCTTCCACTCTCTTGGAAATTTTTTCTTGATCCTACCTTTCCATTCCAACCCACACCTTCCATTTTATCAGCCTTTAGGCCACCTGTCAGAGGGTCTGATCATTGTTGTTGTAAGTATTTTGATTATACTATATGCTTGATATTGCTTCAGTGATCCAATTGCAGCCAAAGTCAACAGGATTTTAAAATCAAATTTATCATATTTTCACCTAAAGAGCAAAAAATTCCAAACACATGCAAGGAGTGGTCATAACCATCTTTTGGGTCATGTTTATTGATTCCATTGCAAAATCTGTTAGCTGTTAATAATAATTTATAATGATTTTACCGATTTTTTCAGAGACTTCAGACAGTTTCTTTTAACTTGGATACAGTAGGCCTACTTTTAATTTATAAAATGGGATCCTAAGAAATAATAATTACGGTATGATAATATTTATTATGCTTCTAGTACTTAATTGTGCTTTCAATTGAAGGGCTATTAGTGTGTTGGTGAATTCCTAATTCTTGGTTGTATCTTTAGTCTAAGGTGAGGCTTTCTTTTAATACAATTTTTTTTTTGTAATTATCAGATGAAGTAAGAGAAAATTTTCTTTTCAAAAAAAGCATTCTATAAAAACAAATATTAACTAAATCTTGCTCAGCGATACAAGAAATTGACAGCAAACTTCTGGCCATTCCACTGAAATTCAAAAACATACTGATATAGGTTCATGTACTGATATTGTTTTATTTTCATGGACTAGTATTACCCATACAAAAATGTATTGTTTGAACATACTACTGTAAAAACTACTGTATTTGTATATGATATGCTCACTGACTTAATCTAAATACCGTACTTGGCCTTTTCTTTACCCTAAATAAACAATGACATTTAAAATTTACCAGTCACCACATACAGTACATTTACAAACAATTCTAATGGTTTTATTTATTTTTTTGCTGTGCAATATGAATTTTATCCCATAATGTCATGTGTGCTTTGTGCTACATTTATAGGGGATATAAGGGGAGGGGAAACAGTGTGTAGGGTTCACCTTCCCCTTTCCTAACAACAAAAAAAAATGAAAAGAAAGAAAAGAAAAAGGAGAGCATGGTATTTCAAATTTTTTATTTTTATAGTCAACTAGTATTGGTGTTTCGAACTTTGCATGGCTGCTACCCAGATATTTTTCTGGATATCCTCCCTCCCCCCCCCCATTTTTTTTTTTTTTTTAACTAGAAATAAATTTTACTACAGTATGTTAGCAATCTAAAAATTTTCTACAGTAATGGGCAGATTCAAAGTGAACGGCTGTTAGGCCATAAAAAAAAATGTTTGTCGTTGCCATGTTTTGGGAAAATTCACAAAATGGGTAGGGCGGTAGATAGATTTTTTTTTTTTTTTTTTTTTGGCCGAAAATGTATTTATGCTTAAAAAGTAGAAAACACACAAAAATACAACCAAGACCTTTTTAAAATCTATATTGAAAGCAAAACAATCATTGTCTGTATCGCCTACCGTCACAATGTAAGCCTATTCCAGCCTTTTAAGCTCATTAAAAAAATATTTATCGTTGTAGTAAAAAAAGAAAAAACTTAAATACAGACTCAATTTCGAACATTTTGGTCGGTTGGGCGTGGCCAACATAATAATTTTTTTTGGCCTTATTGCGGCTATAAAATACATCAAGCTCTCTTCTATTCAATTTACAATTTGTTTGGGATTTTCCTTCGGTGGTAAATCTTTATTTTTCATTTTTCGGTGGTAAATCATTAAAGCTCTGTCCAGACTCAAATTTTATGATATAACATGTGACATGTCTGAATATGTTCATGATGACATCACATCATGATCATATATAGGCACATCATGACTATATATGGACAGTTTTTTGATAATATGGACAGAGATTAAGAAAATAGTTTTAATGCTTTTAGTCTGTATTTTGGTTGTTTTTTTTACCATATAATTGTTGTACTTTCCTGTTTATAATTTGTTTTATGTAGGACCCCATTGGAAATAAGTTTAAATTATAATTGTGATGCGATTCCTTTGTTGTGCTGTAATTTTTGATCTGGTAATTTTAATGAATTTTAAATGTTTTTAACTTGTTTTTGTATTTTTTAATTTTATTGGATTGTAAATTTACTTTAATGATTTTAATTATTTAACTTTGTATTCACTTTTTTTCCATTAATATAAATTGTAAATATTCTTTAAATTTTTAATAATTTATTGCTATTTGGCCTATGTATTGTCCATCATTGTTTATGTGATGCTATTATTTGAATAAAGAATCTCTTATTGTTATATTTGTTTGTCCTGCCATGTGCAAATTGTATCCGTTTTGTAAAATATTAATGTAAAATAAACTGAACTGAACTGAAAAAAAAAATATCTTCCATTGGATAAAACATAATATTAAGTTATAAATTATTCACAGCTTATATATTTAAATTGTAATTTAAATATGTTTTAAAATGTTGAACATTTACTGATATTCTTGTTTAATAACATTTTAACATTACATAATTTGTTAGACTTTGTTGTCTGGATATTTTAATTAATATTAACATTATAACACATTTACAGTTTTATAGTTTAGGAAATTATATTCCAAATGGGCTTGGTGCAAATAAATACCGGTATGTTTTTTTAAATTTCCTTAACCAAAAAACAGGTTTCTTAAACTGAAATCTTTGATAAAACAAAAAGGATACAGTATGTGGATGTAAAAAAAAACACCACACATCTTATAAATAACACAATAGGTTTATTGAAGACATGTTTTAGAACAACCTGGCATCATTACAGAACAGAAAAAACGAAAATAACATACCAAGCCCTTATTCCTCTTGACTATATGATTCATTGTTAATATGCTGCATATTGGTACACTGGTTATCAAAGAAGTAAGTAGCATTGGATAAAACATAACGTATATTTAAATTGTAATTTAAATATGTTTTTAAATGTTAAAAATTTTTACTGATATTACTGATATTCTTTTTTTTATTTGTATTGTTAATATTTTAACATACATTTGTTAGACATTGCTGCATATTTTAATCAATATTAACATTTTAACACCTTTATGTTGATAATCACAGTTTTATTGTATAGAAAATAATAATCAAATTGGGCTTGGAGCAAACAAATATATGTTTTCTCAAATTTCCTTAACAGAGAAACAGGTAAATTTCTTAAACTGAAATCCTTGATATTGAACCAAAAGGACGCAAGTTGATATAAAAAACACCACACATTCTTCATAACGCAAAAGATTTCATCGAAGACATGATTCAGAACAACACGTCATCATTACAGAACAGAAAAAAACGAAAATAATATACAGTGCCAAGCCCTTTTCTTCACTATATAATTCATTGTTATTCTGATATTACTGTATGTGGTACATTGGTTACCAAACAGTTAAGTAGCCATATGGTAAAATATATGCAAGTTATCTAAGATATGATTGCTGACGTGTACCTTCAACAAGTTTTATGTTAACATGTTTAATTTGCATATTGAGATTATTCCATTTAATGGAGAGGGATTCTTTGATTTTTAATTTGATTTCATTCTTGTCACTATCCATGATATTAAAACATTTTCTATCAGATTACAATTTACATCTTCTGTTCGTATTAAGATGTTTGTATGTGAATTTTTATCCTTTCCTAGGTGTTTGTTGATCGTAGTAATTAACCATCGGCATGTGGGCCTTTGCCTATAGCCTATATAGTTGGTACTGCATCCAGCACATTTAAATTTGTATACTACATAGGATCGTAATTCATTTGGGATAGCATCTTGCAGTACTAAAGAACTAGCTGATTTTCGTGGTACTAAATAGCACATACCTTGCAACCATTTTAAAAGACTTATCAATATGTGGATAGATAACCATTTCATAGTTTTTATTGTATGTTCTTCTGCTGGTTGAGGTTATGGCTAATAGTAGTTGGTTTCTATTTCACAGTTAACAGCTACAAATGGACTCGTGCCAATCAGAAAACACAGCTCTGTATTCAGGTGAGATTTTACTGCGTTATTAGATTCCTAGCCTACTTTGATTGTGTATTTTATTGCCTCCCCCTCATATCCTTAAGTTGTTTGTTTAAAAGGAGTTAACTATTCTGCAACTATCTAGATCCTTATTTGGTCAATTTAGAACAGCTGTACTAATGTTTGCTATTGCTTACAGTAACTTTCATACAAGTTGTTGTTTATTTATGAATATTCTGCTATATATTTGTTGGAAAAATTCAAAATTGAGTTTTTGGTATTTTTTAGAAAACTGTGTTAATTTATTGAAATTGGTTGAGTATTCATTGGATATCAGCTGTCCCTAATACACAACACGGCTGATATCCAATGAGTATTCATTGGATATCAGCTGTGTTGTGTATTAGGGACAGCTTCCAAAGATTCCACAAACAGTAGTTTATTATTAAGATTTGTATTTTAAAAAATAATTTTAATATAATTTCTGTTATATGTAGTGATTGATATTTTGCAGAAAAGTTCTTTATAACTTCTTTTATAACATGCAAAAATCATTTAACATTTACATAACATTTTGGGTGCTTGTGCAAAATAAGAAATTGCGACAAACAGTGGATTTTGCTAGAGCCGTTCACATATTATGAATACAATATACAGTATTTCATAAAATATATCCCGAACAATTTAACAATGGTCTTTGACAATATACATGTGATGTACACAAATAGGTGTTATATGACATCATTTATGAACCTGTTGGTTCATAATGCATTATGTGCATCACATTATAAAGATAACTCCATTAGAGACAAATTATTTATGTTTGTTATTTAATTTGATTTATTTTCTTACGGAAAGTAAGTATATAGTATATAGCAATTTTTATTAGGCCAAATATAAGTAAATGTCTAGGATTTGAAATTATTTTGTAGTGAGTGTATTTACTATCCTATATACTGTACTAATGGTAAACATGCTGGTAAATGATAAAAATAAAATGAAACCTTGTAATCTTTTATATTTTTATTGCTTTTATTTTCTAAATGAAAATAATTCGGGTTTTTTTCTTAAATAGCGATTGATAGTAATTTTTTTCAAAAGGCTCCAAAACTATATGTAACCTATTTATTTGGCCTATTCATATACATCTTATTTTACATGGTAAATTGTTGTGTTTTCCATTAATTAACAATCTGCAAGTCAAATTTTATCTAAGTTGAACATTTTTTCAATGGCATTTTGGATTCGACTTACTCAAGTTTAACTGTATTACAGTAGACCTATCTTTAGTCAGAGGTATAATTGTTTGTAGGATTCCCTGCATTTCAGCATTTTAGAGGATGCACTCATTTTTCCATAGCAATATAAAATAAGCTTCATGGAAGGAAAAGGGTGGATAACCTAGGATTAAGAACAATCGAAAGGAAATGCAGTGCTTTGCAAACATAGAAATATACTGTAGTGTGTAGACAGGTCAAATTTTAGGAAGTAAATTAAAAAGGTTAATTCAGCTAAAAATTTAATCTTTCATGCATGAATTATCATTTCTATCTTTAGCTATGATGCCGTTCGTCCAGCTGCACTCTTACAAGTACAGAGATGATCAGGCCAATATGCTGGGGTGGGGGGTGTGAGCGAACACAGTCGAGCTTTTTTTTATCAATTAATTTTCTAAATGCAATTCTTCACACACACTTTTATTATTTATTTTTTATGTAAGTGTACTTGTACAAACTAAAAATTCTTAATGTTCACTCAAATTTATAGCTTTGCCAATTCCAAATCAAATTACAGGTATGAATACTGAAAATATTTGCATTAAAGACACTTACTCACAACCTCCTAATGTCATTGAAATAGCGTTAATGCCCAGATCACCAGAGCACCTGGAACCGCACCAAGCCCTGCCCCTGAACCCTGGGAGGGGCCCTAGGCTGCTCCCGACCTTCCCCCATCCAAGTTTGGTCAATGTACTTGGAAAACCACCCCCCGCCCCAACCATCATTCACAACCCAATGTACGGGCCTGATTATTAGAAATTGTCTCTACTTGCCCGCAAGCAGTGGCGTATCTAGCAGTATTAAAATGGGGGGGGCTGGTGGGGGGGCGCGACCAAAATATGAGGAGGCGTGGAATTTATTTTCGGTGGCCACGCCCACTGAAAAATATTGCTTCTTAGATTCCCGAATACACGTTAACCGTGACAGATATGTTAAAGTATATCTTTTGAACGCAGTATTTGATGTGTTTTGATGAACGTCAATAAAGGGAAGTTGAGAAAGCATTAACCCATTTTCTTGAGCATAAGCCTAGCCTAATTTTTTTTGCTTTCAATTTTTCGAATGGGGGGATGACTATGACTGGGGAGGTGCAAACTTTTTGTGGGGGGGCCCATCAGGCCCATATTCTGGGATGGGGGGGGGTGTGAGCGAACACAGTCAAGCTTTTTCTTTTATCAAATTTTAATTTTCTAAATACAACTCTTCACACACACTTTTATTATTCATTTTTTATGTAAGTGTTTTTTCTTTAGGTTAGGGTTGGGGTTAGAGTTAGGGTTAGGGTTAGGGTTAGGGTTAGAGTTACGGTTAGGGTTAGGGTTAGTGTTAGGCAAAGTGAGATAGGCACAGTATTCTTTTCACTCATTTTTCACATTACATTGTTTAATTTTTTATGCACACTCTCGGCTTAGGCTAGGCCTACAAATCTAGGCTGTAGGCCTATTTAATTTCTCTCAAAACAAAATATAAAATAATGGGCAATTGATAGGCCTACGTAATTCCTTTTTGACAACACAATTTTATTCTTTAGCAAAATTACACATACAAAACATTAAGTATGGTAGCTACCAACCTGTGTTTTCTATGCTACGGAGTGTCTTCTCATTCATGTTATTAGGCCTAGACACGGGCGTTTATACGACTGAACCTGTCTCTTATACACATCTAGATGTGTATAAGAGACAGGAATTGAGCCGTACAATCCAAAGCCCACAACAAATATCCGCTTGTTAACAAGAAACCTGGCAAAACATAAAACGCATGCTAAAGTCAACAACAGAAAAATCAAATATCTTTAGAAATAAGATTGCTCAAAATCATGTTATAAAAATTACATAATTCCCAACAAAGCAACAAAGTAATTAAACTAGGCCACTGGCCAGCATGGCACTGAACACTTAAGAAAGTACTATAATAGAACAATTACAATCAGAAACTATTCACTTCTTAAGAGTTTTTATATATATCATATTTAAGATTTGTGATATTGAAAAACTAAAGGTAAATATAATAAATATAACATTGTCACTCAAATCACAAATTAACACAATAAAAGTAGATGTTTAGTTTGTGAAAAAAAAAAGCATGTTAAAAAATATGTGCCGCAGTCATTACAGACATTTGTGTGGTACAGAATACAAACTGTCTCTTATACACATCTAGATGTGTATAAGAGACAGCTCTTTTGGGACACCACTAAATTAAGGGGACACCCCATAATAAGGGGACACTATTTTTGGCCGTAAAGTGATGGAAATGCATCTTTTAATAATAATAATAATAATAATAATAATTCTGGATTTATATAGCGCCTCACGTTCTGTCTCTTATACACATCTAGATGTGTATAAGAGACAGTAATTTTTCAGATATATGATATGATATATTACTTTACTGTTATATATAAATGAAATTTGGATGATACTGTAAATAAACAGTGAACACACACACAAAAAATTGGTTGTCTTTTTTCTTTATATGGTGATATATAAATTGGTTTAAACTTTAAAGATAAAGTGGTTTGGTGGGTAAAGTGCTCTCCTTTCAATTCTGTGGACATTTATTTAAGGTTCTATTCCAAGAGTAATTTGACTTGAATCTCAGTTGAGTCTAAATTAATGTTGCGTTTTAGGTAGAAAAACATCCTGGAATAACTGTCACTAAATATCAAAGAACAAATCTCTCTGCATGTAATTTACATCATTTGATTGTGCATTTGATCAATTTACGTTTGTATTATGGATCAGGATCATTCATCCATTCCAATTTATAACACTAAGAGTTTGTTTCACCACAGGCTAAGAAATAACAAACAAAGGTAAATCAAATGTCAAGATGAAGATACAATACAAAAGGTGAAGGGACAAACAATTTTTAAAACACAGATCAGGTAGAGTGCCCAGGTGAGAAAACATATCCATTGTAATTTACCTTTTTTAAACAGACATCATTATTAATAATAATTAATGATTAATAATATATTATTGATAATATTAATTAATCATTATTCTTTTTAATAAGTTTGTTCATTTTAATTTTTTTTGTTTTATATAATTAATTTGTTTATGTTAAATATTAAAGATCTAGTTTAATTTTCATCTTATTCTTTTGTCTTTTATTGTATGTACTGAGGGTCCCAACTGATCAACTCTGGCTGGATGGGCTACCCTCACAAAATATTGTTGAATAAATAAGTAAAAAAATCACTATGCTGCAAATCGACTCTGGTTATAACAGGGACAGATGAGCATGTTTTACATCTCCCTGGTTATAACTTTGGCTTTCTAATATTTAACAAAGGGCCCAGAAATCAATCAAATCAATGCATCTGTTAAATCTTTAGGTCTCAAGTCACTCAACCCCAATGGCAATAAATCTTGCTTAGGCTACCTAGGCCTAAGCAAGACCTAGGGCCTAGGCTAGCCTAGTCTACCTATAGCATTGTAGTACTTACTTATTATTAAAAGTTGAACATTTAAAAAATATCATTATGAGAAAACAATATGAATATAAGGTAGTACATTAAATTAAATGTTCTAACTACCTAAATTAACCAGATTGAACGATCAAACGATCTTCTATTGAGAGAAAGATAACATGCCATCCTAGTTGGTGAATGACTTGGGGATCATCTTAATAATTAAACACTCACGCATGTGGAAGCTGAAAGCTAGCTAGAGTGTACTCTCTGGGCTGCGATACCTCCTGTCCAGGGATTGTCTCGAAAGTTCCGCCTTTTTTTTTTTTTTTTAAAGAAAATGTTTTTCTTGCTAATTCTTCACTAGACAACCGGGCAACATGAGGAGTAAATAGGCTAGCCCGGAGCGGTTTTTACTAGACATTGTACGCCGGGCTAGTACTAAATCGAGCCCTGATATTATGAATACAATATACAGTATTTCATAAAACATATCCCAAACAATTTAATAATGGTCTTTGACAATATAAATGTGATGCACACAAATAGGTGTTATATGACATCATTTTTAAACCTGTTGGTTCATAATGCATTATGTGCATCACATTATTAAGAAAACTCCATTTGAGACAAATTATTTATGTTGTTATTTAATTTGATTTATTTTTCAACACTTACGGAAAGCAAGTATATAGTATATAGCAATTTTTATTAGGCCAAATTTTTTTTTTTTTAAATAGCGATCGATAGTAATTTTTTTCAAGAGGCTCCAAAACTATATGTAACCTACAGTATTTATTGGGCCTATTCATATACATCTTATTTTACATGGTAAATTGTTGTGTTTTTCATTAATTAACAATCTGCAAGTCAAATTTTATCTAAGTCGAACAATTTTTCAATGGCATTTTGGATTCGACTTATTCAAGTTTAACTGTAATATTACAGTATCTTTAGTCAGAGGTATGATTGTTTGTAGGACCCCCTGCATTTCAGCATTTTAGAGGATGCACTTATTTTTCCTTAGCAATATAAAATAAGCTTCATGGAAGGAAAAGGGTGGATAACCTAGGATTAAGAACAATCCAAAGGAAATGCAGTGCTTTGCAAACTTAGAAATATACTGTAGTGTGTAGACAGTTCAAATTTTAGGAAGTAGATTAAAAAGGTTCAGCTAAAAATTCAGTCTTGCATGCATGAATGATCATTTCTATCTTTAGCTATGATGCCGTTCGTCAGCCGCACTTTTACAAGTATAGAGATGATCAGGCCCATATTCTTGGGTGGGGGAGGGTGGGGGAGGGGGTGAGAGCGAACACAGTCAAGCTTATTTTTTTATCACATTTTTTAATTTTCTAAATGCAACTCTTCACACACACTTTTATTATTAATTTTTTATGTTTAAGTGTGCTTGTACAAACTAAAAATTCCTACTGTAATGTTCACTCAAATTTATAGCTTTGCCAATTCGAAATCAAATTAAAGGTATGAATACTGCTTTGCTTATTTATGTCTTATTCATTTGTAACCAGTTGTAAAGGCGGTAAAAATAATAATGTAAATGATTGAACAAAGGAAACGAAAATGATCGTTTACGATATGTGGGACTGACAGCTACCGGACCTGCTTTAAGCCTAGTGCTTCGCCTAGGACTTCTAGGGCCTAATTAAATTTGGGAGTAGAGAGTGCCTCACTTTTTGGCATTACAAGCGACTGCTATTTCAAGTACTGTACTGAAAGGTCCACTGATTAATCTCAGATAAGGTAGTATAATACATACTCCAAGTATCACGATGGCGTGCATTTCAATACTTGGAGTATGTATTATACTATCTTAAGTACTGTACTGTTGCTTACAGTACAGTAGGCCATACCTGGTGTATTTGCTCTACAGCATATCGAATGTAATTATCAATAAAATAGATGCTTTTATATTATTTTTTGACATGCATTTTCGGTCTTGTGTACTGTTCTCTAAACACAACACACGATGTCATGATTACCTTTCCCGAGGGCAGTGGCAGCGCTTTCGAGACTCTGCCCGCCAATTGGTTAATTTTGTTTTCAGGGGTGAGGCAGTGGCGTGTCATGTGCTGGCAATGATCAGAATGCTTGCTTCAAAACTGCCCATGCATGTCCATGCCCAGAACGATTTATCTAACTGGGATTTTCCACATGAACTTGACAGGGTCTGTAAATCTGTACTAAACATGTGGTGAAAATAGGGTCGCTTAGTGAGGTGATATCTCCGCTGCTCATGATAACTCAAGAAGAACCGAGCCTAGCCATTTGTTTTTTTTATTTAAACTGTTTTTAATTTCATTTTGTATTTAATTGTTATACATGCCTGTTGAACAAACTCCAATTCAGTATTTTACTGCTCTCGTTTGCTCTGTGCATGATTGACTTTTGAATAAAAGATACCATAAATAAATAATTTAGAAATTCACTCCTGCAAAAGGACTTTACAAAACTGCACGGAGCTCATTTTAATTATGCAGACAAGATGAAAAGTTTTAAATGAGACAATAAAATAAAGCTTTCAATCTTTTCATGTGACAGCCACAAGCTAATACAGTACTCTAGATCTACAGTATTATTAAGTAGTGGAACTGGAAACCAATTTTATTGAATTATTAACATCATCTGATCAGGTTGTACAAGGCCTTATTCTTGTATTTAAAAACCCTCCAAATATAGACCATTTGTGGGACTGGATAGCCTGTGGTCTTTGGCAGCTTTGGTTTTTAATTAGAATTAATAAGATAATAGACATGTTAATTTGGTACCATAGGAAAACTGGTCTTTAATTGGAGGTGGTCTTTATTTGAGGGAGCTTTTATCAGAGGAAGACCTGTAATTTGTTGAGTTGCAATGAATTGCCCATGTGTATTTAAACTTATTTCATTTTCATATTTCAGCCCTTCCCAAATGTCAAATATGTGGTGATCAGTCATCAGGTCTTCACTATGGTGTTTATTCCTGTGAAGGATGCAAGGTAAAAAAACCTGATAATTATTTAGTTCATTTATTGTTTTGTTGGAATATCATTCAGGGGAAATAATAATATTAAGTAAATAATAATAATAGTTTGGTTTATAATATAGCTCTTTACAATTAGATTATCAAAGTGCCCAAATTGTGGAATTACTTGTACAGTAAATTTCTGGTCTCCTGCAGGGGCGGATTTAGAGGGGGCCTGGGATGTCCCCGATCTCCCCTTTTGGAAAGTCCAAAAAAAAAAGAAAAAAAAAAAGGAGGGAAAAATAAATTAAAATAAAATAAAAATTGATCGCCCAAAACGCCTTACAGGTTATTTTCGGACGTCTAGTAAACAAAAATTTTGCCCCAAAACCACTATGGTAAAGTTGTATCAATCGCCTTCTCCTTTTGCACATCTCAGAAATGATCTGGATCCACCTCTTTCCTGGGCCTCTTCATGTCTTTGCTACCTGGTAAATTGATGCTAGCTACTCTTATCTGTCTACAACAGGGGCTTTATGTACTGGTACACTGGGTTAACTCCCTCACTCATCTCAAAAGATATTTGGTTTTTATAGTGCACATGAGCTAAATATGTACACTGGACCTATGGTTTATAGTACTTATCTGATAAGACTTGACCAGCACTGATGTTAGGGCTGTCAGTTATGGCGACCCTTGCCTTAACTGCTCAGACCTTGCAGCTTGGCCATTTGACTTGAAAGGGAATGTCACTACAGTATAAACACCATTTAGATTGAATTTAATGTTGTATAAGCCCTGCCTAAACTGTCAAATTTTACTTTACAAAAGGATGTGACATGCCTCAATATGGTAATGATGACATCACATGACGACATTATATAATGACATCATGACTATATATGTGCGTACAACAGTTTTTTGTCAAAGAAAATGTTATAGTTTGGGCAGGGCTTTTAATAATGGTGCAAACAAGATCCATTTGTGGTGCGAGTCACAAGTGTTCTTTTGGGTACATAAACTACCCAGTTTATTTCAGAAAGAAATGATGGAATGTTATTATAGTTATTTTGTAAAACATTCAACGTAACCTATTTACATTTTTGTCCTTCATTTTATTCCTAAAATTATATAGTTATTTGATCTACTTTTTATTAATTTTATATTCTATTTGTTTATATTTGCTTTTTTTTCCTTCATGTTTTTAACTGTGAAGAGTACCATGTATATTTCATTGTTTTAGATAACCGCTTGCATTCTTTTTATATTAGGGATTCTTTCGCAGAACACAACGACTAAACCTAAAGTACAAGGTTTGTCAATTTGCGGAAACTGTACCGTGTGATATCAACATTAAAACCCGCAATAAATGTCGGTATTGTCGCTACAAAAAGTGCAAAAGTCTTGGGATGTGTGCAGAAGGTAAGGTTCCAACCACACTACCAAGCGTTGACAAATGTGTGTGATTTAAAATGGACACATGGTGATGTCATCACTTCCAAATATGGGCAGATATGATAATGTATTAATAGCCAAAATCAATAATACATAAGAAAGGAATTATGTAGTCTGAGGACACTATTGAAGATGAAAACCAAAGTGGGCGTTCTTTCTGAAAATAATGGCTACTAAGGCTCCTTTTTAAAAAAAGAGTGTCCCATATAACTTGACAATAATAGCTTCTAAAAGTCAGTCACATTGTTATAAAACTATGTATTTTGATCGAACTTGTAACCGGTTGCTTTGTGATATTCTTTATTCTTCTTCTCTTTATTCTTTCAAAATTTACAAATCGTGGCTAGGTGCCAAATTATATGTAAAATAACATATGAGGGACATTAAAACAGCTAAAAATGGTATAAAAAGAGAAGGCATAGAAATACATTAAAGTATTAAAACAACAAATACAAAACGGAGAATCTTAATTACATAATGAAATACATATGATCAACACATTAGATGTGCTTCTGTATATAATTCATGTGAGCATCAAAGTTGTCTGGAGGTATATGTCTCACAATGCCTATTCGTATAATTTTATTTGCCTGTTTACAATTGGCTATGTTTCTTAAATTATTTTCAATGTTTTAGTATGTGCATGTATTTGAGATCATGTCAAATTTAAGCATATTGTCTGACAGTAAGTGTACTGACCGTCCGTTCTGTGAAATAATCCATGACAAAAAAAAATTGTTTTCCCAACAGCTGTGCGCATGGGACGTGTGCCAACAGCGGAGAAGGTGAAAATGATTAAAGAAATTGACGTGGGAAAGAACAAATCGTGTGTAGATGCTGAGCATGAAGAGTTTGTCCAGCAAATATATAATGCCTACAAGGAAACTCTTTCTGAACTACGGGAAGATGAGATTGAATGTTTTCGCGCACACTGTGCGCCGGACATTAATGTAGGTTCAGTTACACCATGAGTTTAGAATAAGTGAGCCTTTAGTGCGACAATTAGACAAGACTTTTTAATACCTTGTTTAGCGAACCCGTCGCCTAGTAGTAATGATAATTTCAAATAGAAATGATTTTTTACACCCATCGCTGCTTTGAATTTATGAAATATAAGAAACCTATATGTCGTCCTTAATTATATCAATTTAAAGCATTTATCATTTCCATTACTACACTGTTTACATTGTAACATCGCATTCTTTATGATAGTGCGATAGGATCTCCAGCAAAAGGCAGCCTCCATTACCTTGCACACTCCATAATTCCACAATAATTTTTTCCCTCTGCATAGATGCTTTTGGCAAAATTTTATTGAAAACTTTTTAGGCCTAGAAAAAATATTGTTATACTTATGACCATGAAATTATCTTGAACAAATGCCTCCTACCTAATGTTACTTTACACTACAGTATATACCTTCCCAAAAGGGGGTTCTTGTAATGCATCCAGAACACTATAATACAGTAAGTCCAAAAGTGGCCCCGACACATTGTAGGTAAAGAACAAATAATAATTGTAATTATTTATTACTCCATAGGATCCTGATGATATCCGTTTGAAAAATTGTGATCCAAACAATGCATTACCCAGGGAATTAACAACCATGCAAGGAATTATACGACACCACAGTAGCAGCACAGAAATCTTGGTACAAAAAGCTGCAAAATTTGCCAAGAAATTAGAAGTCTTTCGGAGTTTGGACATCGCTGATCAAATGTCGCTTTTCAAAGAAGCTTGTCTGGAAATTGTATCGGTAATGAATGCTCATCGATATGAAGGAGGAATCGTTCGCTTTCCAGAAGATAACACATATTTTCGTGATGTGACCTGTAATCGATTTAGCTTGATGAATCTTGGCAGTAGCGACACGCACCACCTGTACCGATTCAACTTCTCCAGACGTGTAAATGCTATTGGTATGAATGACCGAGAAATGGCAATTTTGTGTGCACTTATAATTGCCTCCCCAGGTATGCAACTCAATTAATTAAAGAAAAATTATTAAGAAGGTTGAAAACTCATAGGGAAACGAAAGGGTCTTTAGAATTTATGCCTTGTCCAGACTATCAAAGACATGTGACATGCCTAAATATGGTCATGATGACTTCACATCATGGCACATATGACTATATATGGGCATACAACAGTTTTTTGTCGAAGACACTTTGATAATCTGGACAGACCATGAAAATAATTTTGATAAAATGCCTCCAACACCAGTCTAGAGGTCTAGAGTGGCAGTGATGGCTCCAGAAATCTGTCGACAAGGGTAAGCCTTGGTCAAGGTCCCGGAGTAAAAATCCCTGGTAGGCTTTGTTCGTTAGAGTTTTTATGGCATAGTATGAACCAAAATTGTGTTTGCAATAATACAGATTGGCAATCAAATAATGTTATTTGGATAGGCAAATTAATATTTTTGGTCTGTCAACCTCATTCTGGTGTCAAACGATGGGTGGTCTAGGCCCATAGTTACCAACTGTCTCACATCGTGCAGGATGGTTGTGCATTTCAAAGTGATTTTGGATGAAACATGCATTTTGCAGAAACACATGCGTGATCATAAATTTGTCACGCACTACTTAGCACAAGTATGATAACGTAATATCACAAATTCAGGGGTAAATGTATTTAAATTTAGAAGAAATTGGTTTTATTAAAAATATAAAAATGGTCATGCAGTAGCTTGAGTCATTAGAGAGCTTTCGTTATCTCGTTCAAGAATCAATTCACCGAAAAAATTTCTCTTTCCCGACCAAAACAACCCAGCCAACCGCACACTTAGTAGAATCTAGCAGTTGCATGCAGTCTTGCACGTTCAATGTCACAATCCGCCGTTGATTGTGTGAATGGAACCCAGGCCCCCACCGGAGTTCTGCCCCTGAACCCTGGGACCCTGGGGTGTCCCCCCTCCAATTGGTGTAGTCACGCATTTCAAATCTCTCAAGTTGATAACTATGCAGGTCTGTTCAACAGGGAGTGCAATTTCTCACCCCTCCCTTCTCACACACACGCTCACTCTGACTTTCAATATGATCCTGTGACTGTTACTGCATCTGGTGTACAATTTTTAGGATTGACTTATTGATCAAAGTGAACCATGAAAGTAAACATGTTTTATGGTGGCAATCTCTTCACATGGCAAACATGTACACATGATGCTATACACAAGGCAATTCAACAAAAAGATGCACATCTTTCGCTCTCGAACATACAGTAGCGCATGCGTACAGTTTTTTAATCTTTACCGAGGCATCGACAGTCCGATACCATTTGCGAGTACAGCTTTCAATTATTAGTCTATGCATGCCATACGTTTTATGGTGTTAGTTACTATTTTATTAATTTTGGGTACTTCACAATTTGCTTCTATAACTGCAATTTGATTTGTGAAAATTAACCAAGAAAATGAAAAGTTGTAGCAATTGAAAATTTACGAATTTTATAAAATTTCATGTTCTTATGTAACATTAAACTGTCATTTTGACAATGTTGGACTAAGGTGCACAAAACGAACATTTGAGTAGGTACAGAAAATTTATTAATTTTTTCTGCGAAGTGAGTCTCATGAACACGAAGTGAGTCTCATGAACACCACACCACAACATTGGTAAAATTAATGTTGAAATGAAGAATATAATTTCAGTCTAATGTTAGTGCAAAATATCATTAAGCCTTTGTAATCACCGCACGATGTGCAATTATCATGGCACCAACATGTGCGTGGGTAATTCGTCACACGCTGATGGTTAAATGGTCTGGTTGCTATGGTTTTTGTGACGTTCAGTGGGTAGGGACGCGCGACGCCTAGAATCTCGATGCCAGAGTTACAACCTTTGATGTCCTGAGATGTGCGTCCTTCTGTTGAATTGCCTTGCTCTACATAATGTGTCAGAATTAGAATTATGGAGTGGATTTGTTTTGTCGTGAGAAAAAATCCTGGGATCTGACAGGATTTGAACCCAGAATTGTTGGATTGAAAGGCGAGCATCTAACCACCAACCTATTCAACTCCACTCCTGAGTGACCCATGTCTTTGAATTGTCGATATATTATCTATAGAAATGTGGTACTATTGAAATCAAAACATTTTTTTTTTGTATAAATTTCCAGACCGAGAAGGAGTTATCAACTATAAAAAGGTTGAAGAATTTCAGGAGAAACTGTTGCTAGCTCTTGAGAAGGAGGTAAAGAGGAATCCCTCGCCAGATGTCAATCGACTTGCAAAGCTTGTTGGTGTGCTAATGGAACTACGAGGCCTTATCCCGAACCAGATCCGCACTATAAAAACCGTACGTGCTTTGAACAATGGGAAGCTACCAGTTGAACCAACACCTGTCTCTTATACACATCTAGATGTGTATAAGAGACAGCATTAGATGTGCTTCTGTATATAATTCACGTGAGCATCAAAGTTGTCTGGAGGTATATGTCTCACAATGCCTATTCGTATAATTTTATTTGCCTGTTTACAATTGGCTATGTTTCTTAAATTATTTTCAATGTTTTAGTATGTGCATGTATTTGAGATCATGTCAAATTTAAGCATATTGTCTGACAGTAAGTGTACTGACCGTCAAAAAGAAGCAATCCACAATTTATTTGTTTTCATGAAATTGTTTCTTTTAGTGAAACAAACTTTTTGATTAAATAAGTTTTCCATAATTATAGTCCAGTTGCTAAGATACAAATTATTAAAAATAAGTAACCCACATAGTGTCATAGATTTTTTTTTCTCACAAAAAGATTCAATTGACTATTCTTCTTTTTGTCAGATATCATAAGTTAAAGTCTACTATTTCATTTTCTGACAAAAAGAAGCTTCTTGGTGTTTACTTCTTTTTGTGTGAAATTGAAATTGTATGTATAATTTTACGAAAGTTTTGTTTATGCTTTCTTACAAATAGTAGCAATCCACTTGTTAGCATTATTTACCACAGAAGTAAACAATTTTCTTACAAAGAGAAACAAAGACTCCTACTTCCTTTTGTCAAAAAACATACCTTCATATTTCCATATTTTGTCATTCAACATTTTCTGACAAAAGGAAGTAATCAATTTTTTAATTAAACTTGATGGATTTTCAAAATTATTTTTTTCAAAATTTTAGTTTTAAAATACTTTATTACTACATACATTCAGATTTTGATTGTGTCACAGCATTTTCCCTGAAATTATTGTAACGCGTTTCAGTAAATAGCGCGAAATTAATTTTGTGGATTTCTTCCTTCTGTCAGAAAGGGGTATTATTATAACTACAGATTTTTTTTTTTAATATGGGCTTTTGGCATGTATCTCTATAATACATTTTATATTCATATCAAATGCTTTGGATGATGTAGGCTCAGGTTTGCAGGGTTTGTGGTGTTAGCAGTACTTGGTTCACAGTTTTATTTTTATTGGATAGACTAATCTAGTCTTTGGAAATGATATTAACTACCCAGGTAGATATTTTACTTTGAAATTAGTTGCAGTATATCACATGTACATGACAGCATTTTCGATACATTTGTTTTTTCTGTAGAAAAAATCAGCTGAAAACCTGAAAATTATGATATGGTAACTAATCATCATATCTTATCATATATAATGAGATGTGTCGTTATTAATATATCATGAACTTCTCATACCAATTAGAAACATACAGTAGTCGTAGACCATAACATCAAACTGCTAAGAGTCTCTGAACTTTAAATGAGTCTGTTGTCCTTTGGCTCTCTCTGGTTGCTTGCTAATTTGATTGACATCTTTAAATTTACAATTTCTTCCAATTTTTTTTTTTTTAACGTGGTGTCTGTTGCAATAGCACCCTTACATTTGAACATCCTCAATAATAATTTTTTTTTATATACAAACATGGTTTTTAGTTACGTAACCTTCACATTCACCCATGTTTGGCCTTTAATAGTACAGAAGAACCTTGTTTTTACGTACCCCAGTTATACAGACCCTCGGTTTTACGTACGCCTCGTATCGACGATGACGTCATCAAAACCCCCGAAAATATTCAAAACAAACGGCCCTTTTCAGAGCAACCATAATTTAAAAGACTATAACAATAAACAAACCATAATGCAACGTATTTTAATTAACCAGCAACGTTGATTGAGTCTAATGCCGGGTTGTTATAATCTAAAACTTGTCTGATTGAATTTTCTACACGAAGCTGAGTAGGCATAGTTTCGTACACGAACGCTAATTGGTTGGCTCGCCCAGTGCAGTGCACATGGTTGCTGTTTCACGTACACAAACACTAATTGGTTGGCTCGCCCAGTTTGTCTCTGCAGGCCCAGACAGGGGCCCAGACAACATCACAGCTCTGTTGTTTAGAATAGCCATGAAGGGGAATTCCCAAGTTATACCTTTGTCGTATAGGTAATCTTACAATATTGATGAATTAAAAAAACACTAAAACGTATGGTTTTAATCGTAGGCCTAGGGGCTAGGTCTAGCCTAGGTAACATCGCTCATTCATAACATATGTTTATTGAGCGTTCGCGTAACGTACATATTAGGTCAAAGGTTACCACAAATTTAACCCAACCTCAATTTTACAAATCCCCCAATTTACGTATATGCCCTCCGGTCCCGTACCGTATGTAAAATCGAGGTTCTACTGTATATTATAAAAATTAGATTTTCTTGCTGTCCCTTTGCAATATACATTAATTGCGATATTTAATGAAGTGCCTTTTTTAGTTTCAATACCTACAGTTCTACTATAGCATCATATATAATTATTTTAATTCATATTGCTAATAATCTATTTCACTTTATGATCACCTTTATATTTTATGATCATCGTATATATTATCCTAGTTTGTGATCATCTTTATAATCTCGTTTTGCTCCCAAATGGCGGGATAATCTTGGCCAACCATTTCTGTCAACATTTTTAAATCAACCTTTTAAATCAACTTGCTTATTGTATCATCAGCTAATAAAATTGAAGAGTGCTCTTCAAAAACTCTCAGTCTGCTACATGTTGATTTGAAAAAATCTAATTTATTTGTTCTTTAAAAAATATTTAATGTGATTTTTCAGTATTACTATTTTTAACACTCATCTAATATTAATCCATTCATTAATAAAAAAAAAAAAATTAATATCTCTAATTGAGAGATGCAGCAAAACTTGCTCAGTCCCGGATTGGGTGAGTTTTGAAAAATCCCCATAATAATTGAAATTTCACACATGTCTGAAAGATTATTATTACATATTTAGCTTTCACCCATCAAGTATGGTGTAAAATCTTTATGACATGACCACCACACTTTCTTGCATACCATCCATTAATTTCCTCCCTCAACATCTGTTATCTCAAAATACATTAAAAATTTATACCCAGTCAAATAAACATATGTAACTCATTATGATTATTGTATGCCATGGTATACCTTTTTTATTTCATGAATACTTACCTGGATGAACTGATATAAGCCAGATTCTTAATGGAACTTACCTGCGAAAAATAATTGATTAGTTTAACCCTGGCATATATAACGCATCAACGTTGTGTATCAAACCTCAAATTTCCTTTCGCCAAGAGCGAGTATAGTGAAGGAGGCACAAAAACATCCAAAGGCACCGACCCAGCAGAAGCTGTCTTGGCATGGCCGACACGACAGGCCACACCCACGCGGAGGCCGCACAAACTTAGCGTCAGGCCAACGCAAGCAGACCTTGCATCACAATTCCTGGTCACAAGATTGGCACATACAACATTCCAAGTGACGATCAAACTTTGGGTAAAATCAAAACACTACAACGAAAGCATGTGGCTTTGTTACACTAGGTAAGCGCCTCACTGTAATTGCTCATGGCGAAAGGAAATTTGAGGCTTGTTGCATAACGTTGATGCGTTATATACGCCTAGGTTAGACAATGCCATTATTTTTCAGGGTAAGTTCAATTAAAAATCTGGCTTACATCAGTTTATCCAGGTACTGTAAGTATCTCACTAATAGACCAATAACATCCGTTCTGATTTGTGTGATTTTACTGTAAATAGCACAAAATATTGGAAACAAGTCAATGATAAATGTACTCCATTATTGTGTGAAATAGATAGACATGGTGATAAATGACGCAAGCATAGCATATAGCATTTCGCTGAACTAGGCTGTGTTGTTGTCAGTATTGGATTAGTGTCCATTTCTCTACACCTTATTACATTTTTACCGCACTTAGTTGGCATGTCTGTAGTCTGGATTGCTGCCTAAAGAAAAGATAGCGTATTAATTAGTGTATTAATATTGCATAACAACAACTTGAAAGTTGTTTGTGATTGTAGTGATTGTAGTGTTTTGTTTGACAAAACAAATGAAATAGGATCAATATTCCTTCTCTCTTTATAGGATCAATATTTCTTCTCTCTTTTTGTTTTGGTTTTTATAAAAGATTTTTATGTAATTATTGAGTTTAAAAATAAAAGTTATTAAAATAACATTTTTTTTTTTAGACAGGCATTATGTCTTTAAACGAGATGAATATTGCACTGTGTTAAAAATACATGACTTACATCTGCTCTTATACAAAACTGCAGTTGGCTGCTTTGTTGTTATTATAGGATTAGCATCTCTTTCTCCACACCTTAACACATTACCACAATTAACACTTAGATAATTAAAAGATGGCATTTCTGTAGTTTGGTTTGCTGCCTAAAGAAAAAGGTAGGTAGTTGTCATAAAACATATTAATGTTGTATAATGACACTACGAAATTCAAAAGCATTGATGGTCTGAATACGCTTGTGATGGTAGTGTTTCAAAACAAATGAAATAGGATCAGTATATCTTTTCTCTTTTTTGTTTTGTTTTTAAATATTTCTTTATAATAAAATATAAGTGATTAAAATAATATGGTTTTGTTTTTTGGTTTTTTTTTGCAGTCATTATATCTTTAAGCAAGAAAATATTGCACTGTGTTGACAATGCATAACTTGCATATGCTCTTTGAATATTATTCAACTTGAAAGCTCCTTTCTTGATTGGGTAACCCCAAATAATTGAACAGTCTGCATTTGGCTGTCGTATTGTTGTATAAAACAGATAGGCAGGGCAGAAAATTTCTTCATAATACATCACTTCACTGAAGTTGGCTGGAATAGATAGGCAGGGCGGAAAATGTGCAAGCATAGCATAGAACATTTCACTGAACTTGCCTGTGTTATTAATATTGGCTTAGTATCCCTTTCTCCATACCTTAATGCATTTCTACAATGCTTAGATAATTCAAAGATGGCATTTTTGTAGTGTGGTTTGCTGCCTAAAGAAAAGATTGTAATTAGTGTATTAAAAATGGAGTAGTCCCCAAAATCTCCATAGTCGTCACTCTGATGTACCCTTTGTATTAAATTTAGGAGCATGGTGGAGGATTCCTTAGATAAAGCATACAGCATTTCACAGGTTGTGTTAACAGCATCGGATTAGTATCTCTTTCTCTACACCTTCATACATTTCACAATGCTTAAATTTTTTGAAGATGTCACTTCTGTAGTCTGGTTTGCTGCCTAAAAACAGGTATATAGTTTAATAAAACATATTAATATTAATATTGTAAACCGACTCCATGGAAGTCAAAAGCTTTGATGGTCTGAAATAGGCTTGTGATTGTGATGTTTTCTTTGTCAAAATAAATGAAATAGGATCAATATTTCTTCTCTATTTTCTTCAGGTTTTTATGAAAGATTTCTATGTAATTAATTATAGTGCAAATATTTTTCCACATCATAATAAAAATAAATGGTATTGAAATAATCTCTCTTTTTTCGGCAGGCATTATATCTTTAAACAAGATAAATATTGCACTGTGTTCAAAATACATGACTTGCATCTGCTCAATTGAACTTGCAAGCTTACATGATGGGGTAGCCCCCAAAATCGCCACAGCCTGCACTCTGATGTAGCCTTATTGTCGGAAATAGATTTGCAAGGTGGATAATGATTCAGGCAAATAATACAGCATTTTACTGCACTTGTTTTTTTCGTTGTTAATATTGGCTTAGTATCCCTTTCTCCATACCTTAATGCATTTCCACAATACTTAGATAATTCAGAGATGGCATTTTTGTAGTGTGGTTTGCTGCCTAAAGAAAAGATTGTAATTAGTGTATTAAACATTGAGTAGTCCCCAAAATCTCCATAGTCGGCACTCTGATGTTCCCTTGTATGAAATTGATGAACACGGAGGATGATTTCTTAAACACAGCATACAGCATTTCACAGGTTGTGTTAACAGTCATCAGATTTGTATCTCTCTACACCTTCATACATTTCACAATGCTTAGATTTTTTGAAGATGGCACTTCTGTAGTCTGGTTTGCTGCCTAAAAACAGGTATATAGTTTAATAAAACATTAATATTGTAAACCGACTCCATGAAAGTCAAAAGCTTTGATGGTCTGAAATAGGCTTGTGATTGTAATGTTTTCTTTGTCACAATAAATGAAATAGGATCAATATTTCTTCTCTATTTTCTTTTGGTTTTTATAAAAGATTTATAGTAATTAATTATAGTGCGAATATTTTTCCACATCATAATAAAAATAAATGGTATTGAAATAATCTCTCTTTTTTCGGCAGGCATTATATCTTTAAACAAGATAAATATTGCACTGTGTTCAAAATACATGACTTGCATCTGCTCAATTGAACTTGCAAGCTTACATGATGGGGTAGCCCCCAAAATCGCCACAGCCTGCACTCTGATGTAGCCTTATTGTCTGAAATAGATTTGCAAGGTGGATAATGATTCAGGCAAATAATACAGCATTTTACTGCACTTGTTTTTTTCGTTGTTAATATTGGCTTAGTATCCCTTTCTCCATACCTTAATGCATTTCCACAATGCTTAGATAATTCAAAGATGGCATTTTTGTAGTGTGGTTTGCTGCCTAAAGAAAAGATTGTAATTAGTGTATTAAACATTGAGTAGTCCCCAAAATCTCCATAGTCGGAATTCTGATGTATCCTTATTGTATGAAATTGACGAACACGGTGGATGATTTCTTAAACATACCATACAGCATTTCACAGGTTGTGATAACAGCATCAGATTAGTATCTCTTTCTCTACACCTTCATACATTTCACAATGCTTAGATTTTTTGAAGATGGCACTTCTGTAGTCTGGTTTGCTGCCTAAAAACAGGTATATAGTTTAATAAAACATATTAATATTGTAAACCGACTCCATGGAAGTCAAAATCTTTGATGGTCTGAAATAGGCTTGTGATTGTAATGTTTTCTTTGTCAAAATAAATGAAATAGGATCAATATTTCTTCTCTATTTTCTTCAGGTTTTTATGAAAGATTTATATGTAATTAATTATAGTGCGAATATTTTTCCACATCATAATAAAAATAAATGGTATTGAAATAATCTCTCTTTTTTCGGCAGGTATTATATCTTTAAACAAGATAAATATTGCACTGTGTTCAAAATACATTACTTGCATCTGCTCAATTGAACTTGCAAACTTACTTGATGGGGTAGCCCCCAAAATCGCCACAGTCTGCACTCTGATATAGCCTTATTGTCGGAAATAGATTTGCAAGGTGGATAAAAATGTAAACATATTATGCAGCATTTTACTGCACTTGTTTTTGTCGTTGGTACTATTGGCTTAGTATCCCTTTCTCCATACCTTAATGCATTTCCACAATGCTTAGATAATTCAAAGATGGCATTTTTGTAGTGTGGTTTGCTGCCTAAAGAAAAGATTGTAAATAGTGTATTAAACATGGAGTAGTCCCCAAAATCTCCATAGTCGGCTCTCTGATGTACCCTTATTGTATGAAATTTAGGAGCATGGTGGATGATTCCTTAGATAAAGCATACAGAATTTCACAGGTTGTGTTAACAGCATCAGATTAGTATCTCTTTCTCTACAACTTCATACATTTCGCAATGCTTAGATTTTTTGAAGATGGCACTACTGTAGTCTGGTTTGCTGCCTAAAAACAGGTATATAGTTTTATAAAACATATTAATATTGTAAACCGACTCCATGGAAATCAAAAGCTTTGATGGTCTGAAATAGGCTTGTGATTGTGATGTTTTCTTTGTCAAAATAAATGAAACAGGATCAATATTTCTTCTCTATTTTCTTTTGGTTTTTATAAAAGATTTATATGTAATTAATTATAGTGCGAATATTTTTCCACATCATAATAAAAATAAATGGTATTGAAATAATCTCTCTTTTTTCGGCAGGCATTATATCTTTAAACAAGATAAATATTGCACTGTGTTCAAAATACATGGCTTGCATCTGCTCAATTGAACAGATTCAACTTGCAAGCTTACATGATGGGGTAGCCCCCAAAATAAATCTCCACATGAAATGGATATGCATGGCGGGTAGTTATGTAAACATATGTACCATACAGCATTTCCCTAAACTGGTTTGTGTTGTCAGGATTGGATTAGCATCCCTTTCTCCACACCATAAATACATTTCCACAACACTTAGATAATTCAAATTGCACTTCTGTGGTCTGGATTGCTACCTAAAGAACAGATAGGTAATATACAGGTATTAAAATATTGTATAACAACACCAGAAAATCAAAAGCTTTGATGGTCTGGAATAGGCTTCTGAAAAATCTGGAAAATTTCTTAAGCAGATAGGTTTTGGATACTATTTAAATGTATCATTAATCGACAAATAAAATCTTAATGACTGTGACCACACTAATCCCAATACACTTGACTACTCATCAAGTCAAAATGACGCCTGTGTCAACAACATACAGTACCTGAGGATAAATATCCCGATCTTGCAAATGTTATCAAAAAGAAACAAAGGCTGTAACATATCGAACTAATTATGAATCGATATAAAATAACATGGGAATGAAGTAAATTAACATAGTTAAAATGCTAGATCGTTATATAGCCATACAATAATAACAATAATTCAACATACTCTATTGAATCTATTCACTTAGATCGAGCTAATCATGAAATTCATGGGCGCCGCCATTTTTGTTAACATGAAAAAAGGTCAAGGTCAAATGACCATGACATCACAGCTGACCATGCTTATCTCGAGCCTGAACAATAAACAGTAGAGAAAAGGCCTTATCAGACCACATCCTCCATGATTAAACATGCTTTAAAGTATAACTCATTTACATGTGTTAAAAGGTCTGAATTTAATTCTTGGTTCCTCCAGGAGAGCGTTCTGCACAGAAGAACAACTCTAGGTGATCTTGGCTTGTATGTTAACAGATACTTCTGTTTCGGTTCTGCACAAGCAAAATGAGTCATACATTGCTTGGAGGTTCTTGATTGCAACTAAAAGTCCTCAGTATGAAGGCAGTCTTTCTAGGTGTCTCGTACATATACTTTGATGCCATATGAACAACATATCCTCCACCTACTGTATATAAGATATGAATTCTCCCTTGTATAATAGAGAGACCAGATGTTGGGAGCATCTGTGTAATAGTGTTCATCGTCAGTTGAAGTGTGTAATTACATATTGAAATATTCTTTAATGCTGTTGGTTGTCGTCCAATTAGCAAGACTCATTTGCTTTCAGGAGTAGTTGGAAATTCATGTTACTTGGTAAAGTAGTGTTGATATAAATATATATATAGTCAGCTACACTCCTTAAGTTTGATCAGCCTTTATTATTTCTTCTACATCTGTGTCACTACAAGCTTATACAATATTTACAGGTGTGAATTTTCGACTTAGTGTTGCCTTTAATGTTTTAAAGGAAAGACCCCTCAATCAACTATACTTTCCCTTTTTAAGATACCAGTTTGGGAGTAGTGGGGTTTCAAAACTTCTGTTTACAAAGTTTTATAAATAGATAACAACTGTCATTTTAACTGTTAATCTTAATTGTATAATTCTTGGAAACTTGACCACTATCACACTAAAGCTATTGTGTTGTCACTCTGAAATTTAACAGAATGTGTTTGAGGGGTGAAGCAGTTTAGTCTGGGAAAGGTTCAATACAATGTTACATTAATAATATAGTTACAGTATGAGAATGGATTTACTAATGCAATTCTGCTGTATAGCTTCACAAGAGTATCATACTTTCGGATCAAGTGCACATCTTGCTTTAGTGACACAGAGATGTAGATGTATATTCTTTGAAACATTAAATGTGTAGTGTCGCCTTTAATGTCTCAAAGGTAAGTCCTCTCAATCAACTATACTTTCCCTTCTTAAGATAACAGTTTGGGTGTGGTTGACATTCTCATCAAGGATTACTGAACATTACCTAATATTTAGTGGACTCTATCAGTCAGATAACATCCAGAGTTTCAAAACTTCGGGAGGTAAAACTTGATACTTAATTTATAGTTCTGTTTACAAATTTAGTTTTATAAATAGATGCCCACACTTTCTTTTGGTCGTCATTTACACTGTTGCAAATTCCTGGGCACCAGCATTTTTCAGTCTTAATATTTCTTCTTCCACCACCTCATCGTCGCATTTGGGTGGGGGGGGGGGAGATATTCGCGTTTCAATTTCGCAATGTCATGTATAAATGTATTTCTTGCCTTTTTTACATCATTGCGTTTATGGCCATCAATATGTCCCCTTCTTCTTATCCGCAGACAGGAACTCCAACTTGTGCAACCATTCTCAAGCTGTTTCAAGTGAAATGGATCTTGGGAATTGTGGTGGTAAATGAGTTGTGGGCAACAGAACAGTGTTGATCCACTTTCAAAATTCGGCAATTCTCATGTTTGGTTGATCTTTGCCGTTTTCCCGGATAAAATGTATTGCCTTATTTAGGTACCTGACAAGAAAATTCAAACTTTATGAAACAGATTGACTCATTCATCAAAAGATGTAGAAAAAGAAATGCAATTTATTGGTATAAATATTGTAAAAATCCATCAACCCATTGTTTTACTTTTGCTACCGAGATTGGTATTATTGAACAAACCAGTGAGAGTTTGGTCTTTCTCAATAAGTTTTCCACATATCAAAAATAGAACATGTAGCCGGTTTCCCCTGTACCTGGGTATAAACCCCTTTGGTAACCCAGCATGTGTCAATTCTGTTTTGAAGGGCTTTGGGTCACCTGCCCCATCTTTGAAATGCAACTTCGTAACAGCCATTACTAACTGAGGAGCACTGCAGTCCGATCCATAGAGTTTCTTCCCTGTAATTTTTTAAAAAGAGAACAAAATAAGTAGGCAGTTATGTAGTCGGAGATGACTCCCATTTCCCGAGACATTTGCTTGTACTGTGGATGGGTGTGGTACATTAGCAAGAGTGACACCATAGCTTTCTGCCATCTTCTTCATCAGCACAGGAATCAGCTCAGTTGGCACAGAACATTCCAGCATCTGGTAAACAATTTGCCTAGTGTTGGCATTGTAAGGCTTACCCTTACCACCATCAACTGGACTTTGTGCTGATGTTTGCTCAACCAGGTCTCCTAAATCATGAACCTCTTCTTCCAATTGTGCTACCTGGTCTTGTAGGTCAAAGATTTCTTTATTTTTTTCTTTTGTCTTATGTCTTCTTCCTTTCCTTTCATGTACACAGTTATTTTCTTCTTTATCTTTAAATCATTCTCTGTGCTCCATGGTACTTTCTTCTGTATATCTTTGCATCTTCTGTTTTCTTTATGTCTGCTAGTTTATCCTTTTTATGCTGTAACTGACTTCCCTTTCTGACCACTGTCTGCCTGCAGTAGGTATTTATCTTTTATTTCTTTGCTTTGGATTCTTTCAGTTTTGTTTTGAGTTCTTCAATACTCCTTTCATTAAAGTCCAGTCGTATTTGCATTTTTGCTTTTACTGGCGTTAACTTCGCTCTTCTCTTCAATGATCGTTCACCCGATGTTTGTTTGGGAGGAGTTATAGGATTCGGAGTAATTGATGACGACACTGTAGAAGCTTCCAGAAATGGGATGTTGGATGAGGAACTAGTTGGTTCTTGCGTTGCTGGAGGACGGTCTACAAGCTTGTACTTGGAAAAATTATCAAAGTGGAGGCTTTCTTAACTGAATGGGAAATCTTGAACTTTTTCAACAAATTCATCATAGAGCTTTTAGCAATCTTGATGCTACGGCTGTCGTCGAAGATGTCAGCTACCTTAGAGAACGCCTTTTTTTGAAGGCAGATGTAGGTGTATAAAAAGTGGCCATTTTGCAACAAACCTGCATCGCTCAGTATTTGGAAGTAGTTCTCCCAAATAAACTTCTGTGGCGTCATCGGTCCAGCAGGTTCGTCCAGGCTATGTACCGTCATTTAACTGCCTACTGAAAAATGAAATCATAATTAATTTGTGCCTTTTTTTTTAGTACTTATTATAGATTCACTATATTAAGCAAAATGATCAAATCATCTCTCTTACTCTCCTATACTCTACTATGATATACCATGTTTTTGTCAACTTTAAAAAATTCTATTTCTCAAACCAAAAAGTGTGCAATAGTCTAACAACATTGACAGATCATTGTCTTTTTTCAATGGACAGCATCATCAGAATGATGATCTGTCACTAGGTGACTAGGCAGGTCTGCCACTAAAGGGCCAATTACAATACACATAGGAATTTGGCTCTCTTCTTTGTTAGTCTTTAAAATACTGTAGAACCATGTCCCACCCTGTCCCATCATGTTTTATCTTTCCCTACCCTTCCCTAGAATGTTATAAAACATTTGAACTGATTATTTTTCGCCCTCAAGCTTCCTATAAAGAACCCACACCTCTACACCTGTACCCAGGAAACGTATGTATGAAGCAAAACATTGTTGGCGTTTTCATTGGTACACAACAAGGGTGGCTAGAATTAATTGCGAAATAAAAATACATAACTAACAGTTACATGCCCTAAAACAGGCAAAACTATGTGGTTGGGGGCCAAACCCGACTACTGTATATCGAAACACAAAACCCAATCAGAAAAAATACTGTATGAATCATACCTAAGTTTTCCACATATCAAACATAGAACATGTAGCCGGTTTCCCCTGTACCTGGGTATAAACCCCTTTGGTAACCCAGCATGTGTCAATTCTGTTTTGAAGGTCTTTGGGTCACCTGCTCCATCTTTGAAACGCAATTTTGCAACAGCCATTCCTAACTGAGCAGCACTGCAGTCCGATCCATAGAGTTTCTTCCCTGTAAAAAAAAAAAAAGGAAAAAAAAAAAATGTAGGCAATTTTTTACATTTCAAATTTATCTTTCAATTTATAGTTATATCTTTGCATTTTCTGTTTTCTTTATGTCTGCTAGTTATGTCTGCTAGTTTATCCTTTTTATGCTGTTACTGACTTTCCTTTCTGGGTATTGTCTGCCTGCAGTAGCGGTATTTATCTTTTATTTCTTTGCTTTGGACGCTTTCATTTTTGTTTTGAGTTCTTCAATACGCCTTTCATTAAAGTCCAGTCGTATTTGCATTTGTGCTTTTACTGGTGTTAACTTCGCTCTTCTCTCAATGATCGTTCACCCGATGTTTGTTTGGGAGGAGTTATAGGCTTCGGAGTAATTGATGACGACACTGTAGAAGCTTCCAGAAATGGGATGTTGGATGAGGAGCTAGTTGGTTCTTGCGTTGCTGGAGGACTGTCTACAAGCTTGTACTTGGAAAAATTATCAAAGTGGAGGCTTTCTTAACTGAATGGGAAATCTTGAACTTTTTCACCAAATTCATCACAGAGCTTTTAGCAATCTTGATGCTATGGCTGTCATCGAAGATGTCAGCTACCTTAGAGAATGCCTTTTTTTGAAGGCAGATGTAGGTGTATAAAAAGTGGCCATTTTGCAACAAACCTGCATCGCTCAGTATTTGGAAGTAGTTCTCCCAAATAAACTTCTGTGGAGTCATCGCTCCAGCAGGTTCATCCAGGCTATGTACTGTCACTTAACTGCCTACTGAAAAATGAAATCATATTTAATTTGTGCCTTTTTTTTTAGTACTTATTATAGATTCACTATATTAAGCAAAATGATCAAATCATTAAATCTCTCTTACTCTCCTATACTCTACTATGATATACCATGTTTTTGTCAACTTTAAAAAATTCTATTTCTCAAACCAAAAAGTGTGCAATAGTCTAACAACATTGACAGATCATTGTCTTTTTTCAATGGACAGCATCATCAGAATGATGATCTGTCACTAGGTGACTGATCATCAGAATGATGATCTGTCACTAGGTGACTAGGCAGGTCTGCCACTAGAGGGCCAATTACAATACACATAGGAATTTGGCTCTCTTCTTTGTTAGTCTTTAAAATACTGTAGAACCATGTCCCACCCTGTCCCATCATGTTTTATCTTTCCCTACCCTTCCCTAGAATGTTATAAAGCATTTGAACTGATTATTTTTTGCCCTCAAGCTTCCTATAAAGAACCCACACCTCTACACCTGTACCCAGGAAACGTATGTACAGTATGAAGCAAAACATTGTTGGCATTTTCATTGGTACACAACAAGGGTGGCTAGAATTAATTGCGAAATAAAAACACATAACTAACAGTTACATGCCCTAAAACAGGCAAAACTATGTGGTTGGGGGCCAAACCCGACTATATCGAAACACAAAACCCAATCAGAAAAAATACTGTATAAATCATACCTACCTGTGTTCAGAATACACTTGCACGCGAAGCCACATAAATAACTGATGCACCTACGACAAGCGCCGGAGGCAGATATCAAAACTGAACAAGTAAGGCGTGCACTCGGTCGATGCAAAAATTACGTTTGCTAGCAAACCTGATATTTAATCAATAAATATGAATATCAATAAAGTCAATCAAGCAGCCAGAGAAAGCCTTTTTTCATTTTAATTTTTTCTTAATAAAAATGCAATCAGAAAAAGTGAATAACAAAACAAATAGAAAAAAGGAAATGGTTATACAGTAACAGACTGCATTATACAGTAAGTTGTAGACATTAGATATAAAATATTAATATTATCTTAACAAATATGTTGTTGTAACAGTATAATATGTCGTTCCTTTTTAGACACTGGAAAAAAGCGCATAGACAGTGTAGTATGCGCTATAGAAATGGAAGACCATTACCCTATATGTTTGTATATTTTGGTATGTGTAAATTGATACGAATAATGTATGCATCTATTTATGTATACATACCAACTTTTTTTTCATGCTTAGCTTTCATTCATTTTTCTATATACTGTATATATTACTAGTTATGTTAAGATACAACTTGTATTAGTGTGTACTATGCACCACCTGTTGAGTGCCACTGATATATGGTTTGCCATTAAATTATCATTATTATTATTATTATTTTTATTATTATTTATTATTGTTTATCAATATACCAAATATGATAGTAATATGTTGCATATTATCAAGTTCTGAATTGAAGACTGGTCTGCATAGGCTTTTCACATATTACTTCAGTCATTGTTATATTTGTATTTGTCTGTTATACAATTTATTACCTATATTTTCTTTTATAATAAGCAGATTTTATGTCTAGAAAATATAATATAGCTACTACTGTAGTATGTTACACAAATATTTACTGGGTTGAGGAGCATTGTTCAAATTTCCCGAGGTGATCTGGAGGCTGTACTGTTTTCCAAGATGAAGTTGAGGGACATAGTACAGCTTCAGGTCACCAATGGCTATAACTTGACCCGATTAAAATCCCAGTAAATATTTGTTTTATATACCACTACCTTTACATAGATTGACCGGCTAAGGAGGGCATGGCCGGAACTGTTGCCCAGCTTTTAACCAATCAAATGCCTGGAATCTATGTAGTTGGTACAGTATATACATGGAGGTAATAGTTTCTATTGAAAATCATATAAAGTATGTAAGGTGTCTGGTTGATTTGTAAATATTGGCATTATCTCTATTTGTTAACTATGTTATTTGTGCAGTAAGTAAATACCAAATGTAATTATAATATTATACCAAATGTTAATACATATCAAATCCAGAGAGGTTAACTATACTGTATGTTCCTTTTTTGTTTAGAGGTAAGTTTTTGTTTCAATTTAGCTAAAATGTCCTTTTATTAAACTATATTAATTATATTTTATAAGACATGTTGATATTATATAAAATCTTTATACTTTTTAACTTCTGTCTGGTTTTTACTGTACCAGCAATATCCTAGCATTCCATCGATAGTGCCTGACTAAAACTTACTGTAGCAAATTTTACAGGAAGTTTCAAATTTGTCATAGTATACACATTTAGATTTTTAAAAATCAAGTTTTGCATTTGTATGAAAAATAAATAAAGCTAAAATTATTATAAATGTTTTGTTTTTGTGTTTTTTGTTCAAAGTTGAGCTGATAGTGATACTGTTACTTGAATTAAAAATGTGCAATTCTGTACCTTGACTGCACAAAATAGACCTTTCCCGAGTGTCGGGACAAACTTAACATTTGGCCAATCAGAACAGGGACAAGAATACACGAGTGGCTTATTCCGTCTCTAAATATCGAGTATGGGACGCCAATTAAATTAGGTATGGCGCGCACTAAGTGCAATAAAGAGTGAATAACCCAAAATTAGGGCCTGGAACCCAGGCTAACGGTTAGCAGGATCCGGATTACAAACATACACACTGACCTGTGCGTTCATACAAGAAAATTTCCGATCCAGATACCAAGTAGATGCAGTGGTGGCACCAGTGGGGGTGGGGGAGCAGGGGCTTAAGCTCCCCCACCGGACAGGTCGAGCCTCCCCATTGGACAGAGCTCGTCGGGCAGTCGGACTAAAGAATATATAAAATAGGCCCACGCCAATCCGACGTCATTTCTGGCCATCCAGAGGTTCCTATTCTTAAAAAAATCTCATTTGGGAGGGGGAACACCCTCTCAAACCCTTGCCCCAGCTTGGGCCTATCAAGCCCAGTTCCCTTTGTCGGACAGCTCAGCCCCACACCCCCTCCCCCAGAAAATATATCCTAGAGCCGCCACTGAGATGATAGGTTTACTGGCCAATTGGTAACAGGAAATTGGCAATGCATACGTGCAATTGGTGTACGATAGAAACACGCTCAATTTGCTAACCCTTAGCGTACCTGGATCCTGGTAATGGTTAGCGAAACCGATCCGGATAACCGATACTAGGGCTCTCGTGTGAACTGACTACTGTTGTTGTCCAAGAACTTAGCAACAATAAACAAGGGGCTGGGCTTTAGTGAAACACTGTACTAAACACTTGAAAGGGGAAAGAATCTATTTTTGGTATCGGTAATTGAGTATTCCTGTGTAAATTTTTCCCTCGTGCGCCAACTTTAAACGATCTTGGCGTACAAAGCCTTACCAAGTGTTACACCTCAAGCGTTTGCTAATGTAAAATATACATATTAAATTTATCATCAATATTTCCTCACAACACCCCACAATACAAGTTTTAAGTTTATTTTACCAAAGATAACAAGATATAGTCAAAATTTGGATCAATGTACTAAAACAGGGGGTTAAAAAACATACATTAAATATAGGCATAGAAATGGAAGCAACATCATTCTCAACACATTTTAATATTTAATGTTTCTCTGGTAGAATTATATTTCTTCTAATCTTGCCGGGATGAATATTAAGAAGTCTGTGATCACACAATAACACATTTTGACGGTAACGATGTGTTGTAGTTCCACATTTACAGAGGAATTATAAGGGGCGTTTAATTGAGTATATACGGATCCATTTTACACCAAATAAATAAACGCCGCGCCTCGCTCGAATAAAACGTCCTCTCAAAAACGCCTTCCAACAACAAACGCGTTTATTCGAACAAATGCGGTATATACTTTAGATTTAGGCATGAATTGTTATAGAAAAGAGGCCTACTTGATTTGATTTTAACTCATTTTTTCTTACAACCCTACAAAAACAGGCTAGAAATATACTACAAATTATAGAATTTAATATATATATAGACAGCAAATTATCTGTCTCTTATACACAGGCATTAATTATGTCATCATCAGGAATGAAATATTATCCATATTTTTTCCAGCTTATATGCACAAGTACAAAAAGTGTTTAACTGTGTACTCCAGAAATATTCAAGCAGAACTTTGTAACATTAGACAATTTCGTGGAATGGGTACCATTTAAGAGTTGTTAACCATGTACTCAAAATTAAATGAACCAAAAATGTATACATAGGCCTACTGATGATAGCTTATTAAGATCTGGGTTAGATTGCCTTTTTACGTATGCTTAAACAAAGTAAAGGAACAGTTAAAGAAGTAAAACTCATAACTTATGGCAGTACAAAAAAGTTTCTCATTTTATATCTACTAAAGATCAAACCCCTAAGGAGTAGGAGCTCTGTTGTTTATCATTTTAAATGTCCAGGTTGTAATAATGATTATTTGGTAAGACAAATAGATGCTAAATAACTAGACTAGAGCATTCTTCACGATCTGATTATAGTGTTATATACAGTATAATCAAATGCAAAATTGTGAGGCATTCCAATATGTTTTAGGTTTACTAATGTATACTTGAAAATGATAATGTAGCCTGTAATGTAAGTAATAAATTAGGTTTAATATTTTCTTAATACTAACATTTTCTAATGCTGATCTCTCCTATATAACAGGTGTGGCGTCGGGGAGAAAAAGCACAATTCGTCCTGGAGAAAAAAAAATTATATGTATTTTCTACATATTAGATGGCGCTAAAATCGATTAATAAGCCTTTGAAACCCCTAAATTGTCAAAATTTCCGCTGGACCACTTTCGAAACCTTAATCGAAGCTCGACCACACCCACTTAGCTTTCGTCGGGGAAATGTGACCCCTCGTCGGGGATCGGGGCATCGGCTCCCCCGTCAGGCAAATCCTGGCGCCGTACCCCTGCTATTTAAAGAAGCATTTGCTATACTTAGGCTACACCCATTGCTTAATGGGGATAAAGCTTCAAAGGCGCTTTCTTTGTTTTTTTAGGTAGCTTTGATGAGTATGGTAAGAATGCTTTGATTTTTAATTTATTCATAGCTATGTCACCTACTAGAGGTACAGTAATGTTTTGATTGTGGATTAAACATGGTAGGGGATAAAGCTTCAAAGGAGCTTTCTTTGTTTTTTAGGTAGCTTTGATCAGTAGGGTAAGAATGCTTTGATTTTTAATTTATTCATAGCTATGTCACCTACAAGATGTACAGTAATGTTTTGATTGTTGATTAAACATGGTAAGCCTACTTGTGCGTAAGTTGGCAAATATGGATAATTTTTCATTCCTGATGATGACATTAATGTCAAAGTATTGAATCCCGACACGATGGCTTTCACTTCGATACTTGGCTTAGGCCTATATATTACCAGGGAGTTGTTATAGCAACTATAACAACTCCCTGATATTACACTATCTTATATTTACTATACCAACAGTTTTAGAATCGTTGTTTCCGAAGCTTTAAACAAGTTTTCCGCTGAGATAAATAGACAATCAAAAATCAGTTGAGCGCCCTCTATTTTTATAACTCCCGCAGCATTGACTTGAATCGCACCTGGACACAGCTAATTATTATATATTTATATAAACTTACTGTGTGACTATTTGACTTATATTCGCATTATTAATTTTTCCTGTCTTTACTGAAATCATTTCTTATTTTAGTAAATCAAAATATACTGTAAAAACCTCAAATGGAAGTCTTATTTAATGCTGAAAGGACGACATAAAGTGAGCCTTATCTGATCTAATAAAATCATTAATTAATCATCATCGCCTTATAATTACAAGCCCTAGTAATTATCTTTATTCAATGTCACAAATACGAATAGCCACACATTAATAACTGTGTAAAGACTAAATTTATTTTCACCACATTGCTCTCTCATACAAAGTTACTTAGGCTAATTTTTGAGATGCATGATTTACATTCTGGTACAGGTATAGTCTTTATATAGGAATAGTGTATATACAATTCAATTTACCTTATTTAATAATAATAATCATCATTCCTGATGGTGACATAATTAATGTCGAAATGTTGATCCGACACGATGGCGTGCATTTCGATTTTTGAAGTTCACCTCAACAAAAGGGTAGGGTAAAATTACAGACAACAATGAAAAGTAGAAAAAGAGGAGTCGAGGTCGGCTTACCCACCACCCCGTCGATCCCCCGTCTTCAGATCGAAGCCTCAAGAGCGTAGGCCTACGCCTTTCAAATCTGAGACGTTAATTCAATAACAGGTTTGATGACATCATTAGGCTATTTATCAGAACCCAAAACGACATTTGTCTACCCTTGACTTATGTTGGAAGTTTTCATAGAATTCAAGCTCGGTGAAAAACTTGTTTTTAACATCATAGTAATTGGGACAGCAAATTATATATGGTTGTATCAGGGAGTTGATATGGTTGTATTCTCTATTTTTTTTTTTATAAACCATTTCCTTTATTTTCATTTAGGCCCTATTATTATTTTCGTTTTATTTTCATTTTTCTCTGATTTTTCTTCTCTAGTAAATATCTTAAATTTTCCTTTTTTATTTCCCGAGTCTTTTATTTCATTGTTTCGTTTTCTTTTCATATTTCTTTCATTCTTCTCTCATATTTTCTCGTCTGCATCTAAAACTAGATTTTATGTTGATGACCGAGCTGCGGCTGCTAATGAATTCTGTTCTTGCAAATGTTGAGAATTTCAATAGATAAAGCTTCCAAAAATAGTGTTAAGAATCACATAGGCCTATTGGAAGTAAACTGGAACTCTAAATTGCGTGTTGAACTGATCTGTATTCCCAACGTTCTCTGTTATAAGAAGCTGCTAACCCTCCGCTCTCACGTCGCAACCCATGCACCCACCCAACTATTACCATTGGGTAAAGGGGAGTGGTCTAGTTTTCCACGTTGAAATTGTATTTCTTTATTCTTTATATACTGGAGAACCTGTTCAGCTGTAGGAAACCGGCTGTTCTCACACACACGGCCCATTACAAAAAAAAAAGAAAAAAAAAAAAAAAGCAAAACAAAACAAACAAACAAACAAAAAAAAAAAACAAAAAAAAAAACAAATTGAAAAAAAACAATGATTGACTCTGTGGGGGGGGGGGGTGTCCAGGGCTATCTCACGGGCCGTACTTTTGTACCTCTGGATCCCATTGGTGCTGTTCTCTAATTTTACAATCAAAAATGATAGAAACACTTCCAGTTACTCGAAGTGTTTTTATTATTTTGATCATTATCCAGTATAAAAATCAGTGTACACATTTTTTGAAATTCAACAATTTCTATGGTCAAGTTAATTTCAATTATTTTTAATGATTTGTTTTGTCTTAGCTTTATATTAATCATTGTATGATTTAACACAAAAAAGTACATTTTTGAGATAGTGAAGGCAGGCTACGATCACACGTTGAGGGCAGGATAACAGTTTTCCAAAAAAGCGAATGGAGTCTGTGTTCATGATGGGGTTTTTTTTCTTAATGAGTTTTAATAAAAAAAATGCGCGTAAAAGAGTTTTTATTATGAAACGAGAGTACAAAGTTTTAAAAAATGTTAATATAATAATCGTTGGTATAATGCACAATTTAATTCATGGAAAATTTAAATAAAATATACAATCTAATGCACATTGTACGAAAGATAATTTTATTGAGATTTTTGTTATAAGCAACCTGTACAGCCCATTTCGTTTGTCACTCATGATGAAATAGACAAAGGAGTTTTAAAATCAATTTTTATACTGGATAATGATAAAAATAATAAAAAAAATTTCGAGTGACTGGAAGTGTTTCTACCATTTTTAGATGTAAAATTATGGGTAAACACTTTTTTATATACACTAACCTATGTTCAAGCTGATAATTTTAATATTACTTCAAAATGAGGAAGGTTTTTTTTTTTTTTCATGGATATTTTTATATTATTCCTCCTAAAAAAAGACCAAAGGACAGATAAATTATTCATGTTTTGAATAAATTTTGTGTTTTCAGTCCGCCACTGTGTGCTTTAATTTATGATTTTATCTCATTGTCCCCCTCATCGGTTGTGTTGTCTCGACTATCGCTCACCCCACCCGGTTTCGGACATCTCTGGATCCGCCCCTGGCTCACCATGAAGATGCTTTTATCCCCTCAAATCGGGTACACAGTTAGTTTTGTATAAGAGCTGTGTTTTACTCCCCAATTGTTCCAAATGAGTGTTAAACATTATTATCTGATGAAGGGTCATATTACTACCATAATAATGTACAGAAAATATTAGTTTATATATTTGCTTCAGGCTTCATTATATGGTAAATGATAAAACAGTTTCAATCATATTGCAATACTGTATATGATATATATACTGTCTCTTATACACATCTAGATGTGTATAAGAGACAGATATATATATATATATATACATGTATATATATGTACAATAAATATTTAATTTTTGAGACAGATACAGAACTTTGTTTGACTTCTTATTTTATATATACAAATCTGTCAATGCACAACTCTATATTTATTTGTATATATATATATACTCGTATTTATTTATATCTGTAGGCCTACGTATACCTGATGAAGGGCGGTGCTCGAAAACATTCGTGTAATCAATAAATTACCTTTTGGCATGACACCTCTCACCTCTCAAGCGTTTTTATATAGTATATAGGGCCTAATGTTTGCCGATGCAGCTTTTAAGTTATCATAAAGCACAGTATGTCATGATGTATACGCCCTATATGTCAAGTAAACTGAACTTGAGTATTACATCATATTTGGAACTTATATTTTAAAAACTTAAACAAAAATGATGTTTAAAGAATTGTTTTGGGATTAAACCATTGTTTCCACAAAGCCATTCATATCATCAGTCGGTTGATGAACGCGGCATTGTTGGTGATAAAATAGTTTCAAAAATAAATGTTTGAATGATTGATGGGCAGATTAATTAAGGCGTCATTACATTACAATTCTTTCTTTACATCGCCAGTTGATAAGACATGTGGCTGCTAATGATTCGTCAAAATGTCTTTAAATATGTTTATGAAAGACGACACTGTCGGAAAACAATTCCTGGAATAACGTGAGAAGTAGAACTGTGAAACAGCGGCTTACTTTTGTTTAGCAACCTTATTAGATGACGTAGTGACGTAGTCTAGTAGCCAACCAATAGAATTTCATAGTACGAGCGACTAACTGTGCGACAATCATCAAGTAGGTCATTGGGTCATGGTCAGTCACCTCTCTTTTGTGTACGTCGTCGAATACGTCGGCGACGGACAACTTGCTTGTTTTTGTCTGTGAGTGAGAGCGCCGCATTAGATTGGGCTTTGACAGTAGTCGCAAGTGCGCCGGTGGGAACTCTTTCTATACTGCGAACTTCACTACCAAAAAGACGCTCGAACCAGAGAGAGAAGTAAGCCATTTTTTAACTTTTAGCATTGACTAGGTCTAAATTATAGTATCCGATTTAAGACGCCAATGCATGAATAAGTATAGCTGCATGCATTCAATCATTTCACTTCACTGCGCCGTGAGAGTGGTTGTGTTCGCGGTACTGAAAACAGGCCCTGTATCGCATAGATAGAGAAACACAGCGGGCTTCCCCACCAATAATTTGCAGAAACGCCGCAGGCTCCTTTCATTTATTTCGGATTGACTAATGTGAGAGCATTCTGTTGTCTGGCTATAAAAAGGTGAACAACCGGTAAAAGCAAATATTGAATCATAACTCCTTTTTATTGTTTGAAAATCTGAAGTTCTACGCATCAAACTGAATGAATGTGAATTTATTTTTAGCAAAGTCGTTTGGGCAATGTATTGCAAATCCTTGAAATCATCTGGCAGAAATCATGTTTTGTTTCATACAAACCACGGTTTGAAATTTACTGGATGATGGTAATGTTTCTGACTAAATAACTAAGTTCACAAATGTTCAAGCCTACATATGATTTGTACATGAATATACAGTACAATTACACTTTTTTTTGTCAGTAGCCTTTTTAGTAGGCATACAACGTATTTAGTTCCATTTGTGGACTTGTTTCTGAAATAAACCTAATAAACAAGCATCAGTTATTGTTTAAAAAGTACAGGCATTGGTCAGCTTTAGCATGATGGAATAAGAAATATATTAATTAAGAATAATAGAATTCATTAAAAATAAAATTAATATATTATTATTAGTAAACCATAATATTTTTGTTTTTTGATATAAGTTTAAAAATATCAAACAAAAATAAATTTGCTGGGCACACAATATTTCCACAATGTACTAATTAAAATAAACAAATTAAAAAAAAAAAATCACAGACAGGCACCACAAAATGAACAAAAACCAATTATTAATATTATTTCATTACAATACTTGCATTTATTGTCTTGCTGAAGAAATGATATTAAATAACACTATACTAGTAAACATAAAATATATTTAAATTAAAAATACTGAATGATGTGAAAAACAGTACATTTGATAAATATAACCATAATTATAATAATCTAAAAAAATATTTAGATAGAAAAACATGGTGGAAATGTAGATTTAGTTAGTGTCCTTTATTGCCACTGCTTTGCATCTGGCAAATGTTAAATTTTATTAATTGTGTATCTGTTTATTTGTCCTTTTACAGTATTCAACTTATTCTTTGTTTGAAATATTGTATAACTGTTCTGTAGTGTAAATGTACATTTTATTGTGTTTTGTGATTGTTAGTAATATCCCAGGCAGAAGCAGTTATGTATGCATGCCAAATCAAATTTATCAGAGTCTGAGATAGTAAAGCAGAGCTGAAAATAACTGAAAACTACTCAATAAAACAAAAATAGACCAATTTAGTAGGACAACGATGTGACAATACAGGCGAAAACATAATGGATTCCCCATGACTGTTTTATGAATTAGTACTAGTAGTATGCAAATAAGGTAAAGTATAAAAATGTTCTTAAGAATAGATAATGTGATTTAGTTGGATTTGCAATACTGTAACACATCTGTAATCGTTGCTTTGCCAGTGTTGCTAAATCTGAACTTGCATACTGTACAATTTCAAGATGATTTTCAATATAAAATTTAACAGTACATTACTACACTACTAAACATCAACAGCATTTCATTCATATTCGTAGTATTTTTTAACTACCATTGTTTGATTCTCAAACTCCATGTGCCCACATGTCATCTGAAGACATATGGAGAGGGAGGTCCTTTTATGTTTTTTTTGGCACCTGCAGTTCTAGAATTCACTGCCACAGTCAGTTCAAGAGATCTTTAAGCGCTGTCTTAATTCATTCATTCTTATTCGACCTCTAATTTTCCTCCACTTTCCCTATGTTTTATTTTCACTATCTTTTTATTTATATGTGATGCTTTTTTTGCCTACCACTCTCTTTTTTATTTGATCAATTATTCTGGTTTTGCTTTTTTCTATTTTCCAGTTAGCGCAAGAGACGAATGTTATATGAACTATACAAATGCACAGCCATTTACCATTGACCATTTTGTAGATACAGTACCAACTAAGCAAGAATTATTCATTGTTTAATGTCTGCTACGATCATTGAACATGTACTGACCTTATTTAAATAAAATTGTTTACAAACGTTTCCATAGAAACTACATACACTATGTGGAAAAAAAAATATTTCAAGAGTTTCCTCATAATGTTTTTGTGCATTTACTAATTGTTTATTGTTATTTGACATCAACTCTGCCTTCAGCTAAAAGTAATTATTTGCGATGTTTACAGTAGATGGCTTAGCATGACAATGGTGCGAACCATTCACTTGATCTGTGTTTAACTTGGCATTAAAACACAAGACCTGACGTTAAACTATAGTGGTGGTGCCGTCGGGGGATCTGGAGTGGGGAAAAAATGTGACCCCGGTTGTAAAGTAAACCTGGACCTAATAGGGTAAACAACTATACATCTGGCACCATTTCTTGACTTGCAGTGGAATATGCCAATTTTATTGTTCTTCAATTCAGTGGTACCAAGAACTATTTGAAGGGGATGATGGGAGGTGGCAGGGGCAGCTTACTGTTAGGCCAAATATAATTAATTTTACTTCCGGGATTTGAAATTATTTTTTTGTGAGGGTATTTACTATTTTCTATTTAATATCCTATATATACCAGTGGTAAACAGGCTAGTATTGTAAATAGTAAAAATGTTTTTTTTTTTTTTTATAAAAAAATAAAAAATAAAATGAATCTTTATATAATATATTTATCTATTATATTTCTACACCACTGTACTGTAGGCTTTGACAACAACCTTTTATATCACCAATACCATTGTATTTTTATTTTCCATTGAAAAATTAGTGCTTTTAAAAAAAATTAGTACATTTTTTCATGAGGCTCTAAAATTTGATGCGGGGGGGGGGGGGGATGTGAAATAAGCAATTCATTTTATTTGGCCTTGTGTACAATATACTCATTGATTCCAGGTCTTGTTTATATAGCAAGGAAGTCTGAACAAAATTTTGATCTCAGATTTTCAATGTGATGTCATGAAATGTAATGCCAAGATTGAATTTCAGTGCCCTGGATTACACAGTCACCATGGTAACACCTCTGTAAAAGTTACAAGCATCTCTGATAAAGGCACTCATTACCAAGAGCCCAATCACACTCAATAGTTTTGTCGACTCAGCCACAATTTTTTCAAGTGTGAGCGATCAATAAATTTTAAGCCGACTTAGAGCCGACTTAAATATAGTCCGAATTTGATGTCGACTCAGGTCCCGCAAAGTGGGGACTGGGCCAACTCATCTTTATATCTGAAAGTAAACTAAAAGTGGTTCGCTAAGGTCGATTTAATAGTGATCATTCCTGACACCTTATGCCATAACACTTCACATTAAATCCAGGAGCATAGGAGGAAGTGTGAAGGTTTGCAGTGCGACCCTGATCCTACTTAAAATACTAACTGCAAACAGAATCGTCATTTTGAGTTGGCCATAGTTAAGGCAGCCCTGTAATAAGTGCGACAAGGCTGTAAGTTGTAGATCGTGGAAGTCAATTAAATATGAATGTGATTTCTTTCACATTCTAATAAATATATAGGGGTCAGCCCCTTCATACATTAGCAAGTTGCATGTCTTTGTGAATTGTAGTAACTAGAAGTATATTTAAGCAATGTGAATTAAACCAAAGAGTATAGATAGAACTAGAAATTGCAAATTGCAAGTGAAGTGCTGCGAAGTACAACTGCATATAAATGTTCTTCAAACAAAATTATTTATGCGAGTAAAATGAAAATAATGAATAATAAAACTATAACAAATAATATGAG